GCGGGCAGGTCCCTGAGCGCCCTGGCCGTGCTGGCCGAGCGGCCGGAGCTGGTGGAGAGGGTGATGATCACGAGGACGCTGTGCCCCGAGGGTGCCTACCAGGTGCGGCTGTGCAAGGACGGCACGTGGACCACGGTGCTGGTGGATGACATGCTGCCGTGCGACGAGTGCGGATACCTCCTCTTCTCGCAGGTCGGTGGTCCTGGGGGCGATGGGGGTGCTGGGAGGGGGTGGGCAGTGCTGCAGGGGCAGGGGGAGGCTTGTCCTTGGCTCTCCCAGGAGAGAGGGCTGATGGAGGCAGCGGGAAGAGGTGCTGCTGTGGTTCACGTGAGGCCCCTGCTCTGTGCTACATGGGGCATTTGCAGCTCAGAATCCTGCTTTTTGCTGCTCCTGGACAGCGGAACTCTTTGAGGCCATAAAATAAACCTATTGAGGCCCTTGGGGCGTTTTCCAGGCTGTGATGGAGAAGTTTCGTTTGCAGTTGCTTTTCCCTCGCTCCTCCCTGCGCCACATCCGCTTCGCTGGCCGGGGAATCCATCCCTGTTCTTCCCGGCAAAAGGACAATGTTTTAACCCGTGTGTTTTGCGCTGCGAGAGGCTGAGGAAAAGCTGCCGCTTTCCTCTGCAGGGAGCTCTGGCAGCTTTGCCAGGGAGGGGCCGTGGAGAGCGAGGCAAATCGGCCCGTTTCGAGCCGGTGCCCAGCTGCTCTGGGCACACTCGGGTGGCATCTGCTGGAATTGACGGAGCTCCCTGAGCCGTTCGGGACGCCGCTGCGCCTGATGCCCTGTCCTGCCTGCCAGCCCCCGGGGCACTGCTGGGATCATGTCCGTGAAGGAGACTGGGAATGTCTTTATTGAAACTCAGGCTGCAAAATCTGCCAAACAAACCAAAGTGCTGCTGGCAGGAGGAGGCAGGGACCCGGGAATCTTGGGTCGGACTTTGTTCTCCAAATCCCAACCCTCTGCTTTAAAATACAGGCAGCCCCGAAGCGCATCGTGCGTGGATGTCAGGACAGGACTCTGGCTGGGAAGATGAGGCCCAAAGATGAGTGTTTGGGGAACTTCAGTGTTGGCACAGTTTGTAGAGTCCCCAGCTGTGTCCCCACCGTGGATGTGGCCCGGTCCTGGGGCGACTGCGAACGGCGTTGGAGCTAATGGGCAGCAGTCTTGGCACGGTTGGCAGAGCCGACTCCTGAGCCCAGCTTAACCCTGGCTCTGGGCAGAGGGGCAGGGGTCCAGGCAGGGGCTTGGCACTGCGCGGGCACAGGTTGGGCACTGCCGAGCCCGGGCTGCCTGGCCGCGTTCTCGGCAGAGTGGGTGATGGCCCCAGGGATACCAAGCGGGGCAAAACGATGGGCAGTGCTGCTGGATGCCGGTCCTGTTCCGGAGAAACTTTGGAGAGGGGAAGAAGGAGGAGTCTGTGCCTACATTTTGCCTCCCCGTGGACAGAGAGGAGCCAGTCAGACACGTTATTTTCAGCGTAAGATTTGCCTGTCTTTTTTCTTTTTCTTTTCCATTCGTCTTTCCTCTCTTAAAATTTCAAGTCTGCTTTTTTTTCGTTCTCAAGATTGAAGGTTTTCCCGTGAGCTGGGCTTGCCTTGCCTTTGTTTCCAGGGGCATCTGAGTCGGGATGAGATTTTTCTGCCGAGCGTTTCGCTGTGTGAGCTGAACGTAGGGGCTAAAAATGGAAAACCAGAGAGTTTCAAAAATAAAGGAAAATCAGGCTCTTATCAGAGCTCCCTGGCTGCGGCTCAGGCAGAAATAACCAACATGGATTTTGTTGAGTGAGGGACTCAAAAACCAGCGAAAAGCACTGGTAAGCTTGCTTTATCCATCGGAAAGAAACCTTCGCTGCCCTCCTTTCCTCTCCCAGCTCGCGGCTGCCACCTGGGAGCCGCACACAGTCACTGTGTGCCGGTGCTTTTCCTCTGCTGCCCCCCAGGCTGCAGGTACTGAACCCAGTTTCTGGGCTCTGGGAGGCCAGCGAATGTCTCCTCACCTTCCTCTTCACGTCCTCGCTGCAAGCAGGGGCTGGAGCGGAGGTGTCTCCCCCCCTGAGCCTCAACATTCCTGGGAGTAAAGCATGGCTGGTGACTGCGCCCCGCAGCAGTGGCTCAGCTGTGGTGGCGAAGGCTTCTCAAACCTCTGGACACGTTACTGCAGCTTCTGCGTTTCTTCCTGAATCCGTAACCAGCCTCGTGATGCCAAGAGTAAGAGCCTGGCACCAGAGCAAAGCGACTCCGGAGAGTGTTGCCCACTGCAAAACTTGCATCGTCTCGTTCCGTCGTGCCCCTGTGCCTGTGCTGGAGTACAGGAGTTTGCCCGTCTTGTTTTTTGGAGCTTTTGGAGCTTGTCTTTGAAACCACATCTCTGTTCCGTGGGTGAAATCTAATCAGTCCCATGGCCATGTGTGCTCTGGGCGACCTCCTCTGCCAAAGGTGCGTTGGTTTTGGTTTGCAGCAGTGTGCGAGTGAGGGGCAGCTGTTCCGGATGTGCTCGATATCTTCTTCCGCTATTAAACATTTTTAAATCCAGGTTGAAGCAGAAGGAAGAAACCATTGACTTTAGAAGGTGGACACCCACCCCTGCCAGCCTGGCTGCCTGGGCACCCCAGGGTGCAGCCATGTCTGGGCCTCCTGGGCATTCCCTCCAGGACGTTTTCCCGAGGATGATTAAACTGCAAGCTCAGCGCTGAGCAGGCAGCGAGCACGGCCACCCTTGGCCTCACGCAGACAAGTTCCTGGTGCCATGACCTTGGTGCTCCTGCCTCCCTCCCGGTCTCCTGGCAGGGCTGGGTGAGCGGGGCTGTGCCTTGGCTGCGCGCTCCGTCTTCGCTTTCCCGTCTCCTGCCCGGCACGGCTCGTGACGTGTCTCTCCCTCTTTCCGCAGGCCCAGAGGAAGCAGTTGTGGGTCGCCCTCATTGAGAAGGCGCTGGCCAAGCTCCATGGTTCGTACTTTGCCCTCCAGGCAGGGCGTGCTATTGAAGGCCTGGCTACACTAACGGGTGCCCCCTGCGAGAGCCTGATGCTGCAGGTCAGCTCCACTAACCCTCGCGAGGAGCCCATTGACACTGACCTCATCTGGGCCAAAATGCTGAGTTCTAAGGAGGCTGGGTAAGACGAGGCAGGAGGGCGCCGTGGCCAGAGCATGGACGCTCGGAGAGGGGGGCGAGGGGGGCCGCTCTCGTTCGGAGAGGCTCAGAGGAGAGGGGCTGGTGCATTACCTAGGGTGGAGACCACCACCCTTGGCATCCATCTGGAGCGCTGGCAGAGCTCTCCCTCTAAGCTCTAGGAAATGATTTCGCCTTTGTTTAATTTTCATATGGAATTAAAATCCCAAGGAAGTTCCCTGTGCATGTTTACCGCATGTCCCGTGGGAGTCTCAAAGTGGCTGGCGTTGAGCCCGCTTGCTTTGCTTGGAGGTTTTTTGGTGGTGTTAAGTGCTTGACCCTGCACGTATCTCCCACCCGTACGCGGCGTCTTTGCTGGCCATACGTGGGCATGACTACAGGCAGTCTGCAGGAGACAAAGCGAAAGCAAAGACCTCTTGGTCATCCACCATCATCTTC